ATGCTGAACACGAGAGGTAGGACGAGCACGAGAGGGACGGCGAGACCAGACGTTAGTGGGAGGCGTCGGGTCAGGGGACAGAGGAGGAGACACAAGAGGGGAACGAGGGGGAAGACGCGCCAGAGACGAGTCCGGCGGTGGAAACACAGGGCCGTAGACAGGAAGAGGAGGAGGCGACGGGGGAGGAAGTACTTGGCACACCAAGTGTGACTCTGTGAGAGTGATGGTGCATGCTGCTCTATCCCTGGAGATCTGCAGGCCAAGGTTGCAATGCAGCTCTCCTAGGTCAGTGCAAGTGTGTCTCCTCAACAGCTCGACCTTCACAGAGGCCAGTGCGTCTCTGTCTACAGTAGTGAAGACCAGGTCGTCTACATAGACAAGGATGTAGAACCGAGTCTGGCCAGCACGAATGAAGAGCGGGGGGTCAGTAGAGGACATGTGTTTCCGCCGCCTTCTCGGCCTTTCCTCCCATGGGACACTCTCCAGCACCTGTTCCACCCCTAGGCCCACAGGGACAAGCCAAAACAGGAACCCCAGGACTAGCACCCTCCTCAACGCCAGCACCCCCAAGGTCCACGAACGGCTGCTGCTGCTGCGGCAACTGCTGTGACATCGGAGGAGGAGACACCGGGGGGGAGGTCGGTGGCAAGAACGGAGCCGCAGGGCCACCAGAGTCAGCCGACTCCTCGACCGGGACAAGCGACGGGAGGGGAGTGGCGTGGGACACACCAGATGGAGAAGGACGAGGAGAGAGGGGAGCAGGGGCTAGCAGGGGGGTGGAAACAAGAAAAAAGGGCAGGGAAACCGGGAGACCTCGGTGGGGAAAGCGGTGATAAAAGGAGACAGACTCGTCGAAAGTGGAATCACGGGAGTGAAGGAAGCGGTAAGACGGCAGATGGTAGAAGTGCCAGTCCGACGAGTCAAGGGGGAAACCGAGGAAGACACATGGGAGAGTGCGGGCAGTGAGCTTGTCCATGCCAAAGGCACAAACGTGAGTAATGCAGCCCCAGACGTGGAACGCGGACGCGTCACCAGGGAACCCAGTCCAAAGAAGGGTCGGCGAAATCTGCGGCCGCTAGGAGTGCGGCCACAGGTTAAGCTGGTGAGCGGCGTAGCGAATGGCAAACGGCCACACAAAATGGGGTGCACCGCATGAATCATGGAGGTACGAGCCACCTCCATGACCAGGCCGATGCATCGCTCAGCGACCCCATTCTGCTGCGGGGAGTCCGGTAAAGTGTACGACTGGGTGATGCCCTCCGCACGACAGAACTGACCAAGCCGACCAGAGGCGAACTCGCCGCCACAATCGGAGTGGAGACAAAGCACAAGGAGACTACGGTGGAGGCACACAGCTACGACCCACGGGATAAGAATGTCAGGCACGTCGGCCTTCCGCTCCAGGGGAAACACTGTGGTGTAGTGCGTGAAGTCGTCGATGAGCACTAGAAAGTAGCACTCGCGAAGCGTTCCAGGGATGGGGGCTGGGCCCCAAACCTCCAGGTGCAGGGTCTGGAGAGGTGCAATGGCATGGCACAGTGGGGAGGAGTGAGGAGCATGGCGCAGCCGGCCCTCGATGCAGAGCGTGCACAGCGGCGCAGGCGAGGGAGGGAGGGCAGTGTTAGTATTAAGGACGGAGTCTAGGTGAACTTAGGAGCTAGAATTACTCAAAATATAAATCCGAAACTGCAAGCTTGGTCAAACTGCAAGCACTTGAATGTGCAATCATTAGTGATGCAGGAAGACCGAGGACTAGACCGTGCTGAGACATGTGACATAGACGCGGGAGTGCGGGGTCACCTAGGCGGAGGTGCCACAGAAGCGACGGGTGAGTGAGCGACCGACACGAGCAGGCCGCAGCGACTTGGGTAGAAGCAGGACCTGGGGAGGACGCCCCAACTGGGGCGGAAGGAGTGTCCATTGTAAACAAGCCAGACACCGAGTCTCAGGGGAACGTCGCAAGGGGGGAACCTGAGGCGGCCTCGGTACCGCTCGTGATCACGGAACATAGTGGTGACGCCGAGGTCCCGAAGACAACCGACACCAACTAAGTTCCTGGAGAACGAGGGGATGTGCAGGCCTATAAGGGAACCCGAGGGGGCCGTTGGACAGGGAAGGGTAGTGGAGGTGCGAGCAATGACAGGACCAGAAGAGGGGTCAATAAGGGCGACAAAGGCAGGGGCAGCGAGCGGCGTGAGAGTGGCGTGGTTGCGAAAGAAGCAGGCAGATGCACCCGAGTCGAGCATGAAGGACAGCGAGGTAGTAGTCGCCGACGAAGGAGGAGCAAGGGTAGAGCCTAGGCTAGACAAAGCAAACGGTCCTACACCTGACGCAGCAGGGGAGTCTGTACTACACATACGTGCTACGCCAGAGCTAGAGATCACAGGGTAATAAGATCCTGACACACTAGAAGCGTTAGCATACAGAAAATGCAGGGCAGAACCAATCTGATCCATGTTTAAGTCAAAGACTGGCACACCGTAACGGAGCAGACTGGGCCAGTCGGGGAGGTCTGGGGCCGGGCCGAAGCGGCGACGGAAGAGGTCGTCGAGGCGGCAGAAGCAGCGGGCGGTCGGGTGCGGGCGGCGGCACACAGTGCCACGAAGGGGCCCAGTCTGGAGCTGGTACTGGCAGCCCACAGCACCGAAGCCGCCGGTAGACGCCGAGCTGCAAGGGCCGCCATCGTGGCCACCACCTCCTGGGGCTCCTGGCCACCCCGGTGGGAGGCGGGGCCACAAATGCTGTTGCTGGTACTGCTGCTGCGGCTGCTACTGCGGTTGCTGCTACTGCTTCTGCTGCAGCTGCTGCTGCAGCTGCGTCTTCTGCTGCTCCTGGACACCAACCCCAACTCCACCGTCCGAACCACTGTCCCCGCCACCACCACGACCACCACCAGCGCCGACAAGCCAGGCGGCGAAGTCGATAGCGTGCCCCTCTGCGCCCAAGCGGAGCATGGCATCCGCCATAATGCAATCTCAGCAGAACCGGGACACAGCGGCACAGGGACACAGCGGCATAGGGACACGGGTACTCAGTTGCACGGTGGTGCAGCGGCGTGGCGGCAGGACTCTCCGGAACGGAGACCGGGCGGAAGGCCGAGAGGGGCGCACGAGGGCCGGTGGGCGAGTGAGGAGCCAGCGGATGCTAAATGGGCCGAGACGCACGAGGGGCCGGCCAGGCGCGCAAAAGGCCGGGCAGGTGTGGGAGGGGCTGGTGCGGAGAGAGGCGTCGGCAAGGCGCGTGGGGCCGGCGGTGCGCAGGAGGGGCTGACTAGGCGGGAGGGGCCGGCTAGGTGAGAGGGGTTGGCAAGGCTAGTGGGGCCGGCAAAGTGCAAGGGGCCGGCTAGGCGCGAGGGGCCGGCTACGGCGTGAGGGGCCGGCTAGGCGAGAGGGCCCGGCTAGGCGCGAGGGGCCGGCTACGGCGCGAGAGGGGGCTGGTTGGGCGCGAGTGGGGCCGGCTACGGTGCGAGGGGCCGGCTACGGTGCGAGGGGCCGGCTAGGCACGAGGGGCCGGCTACGGCACGAGGGGCCGGCGGCGGCGTGAGAGGGGGCCGGCTGGGCGCGAAGGGCCGGCTGGGCGCGAGGGGCCGACTAGGCGCGGGAGGGGCCGGCTACGGCGCGAGGGGTTGGCTAGGCACGAGGGGCCGGCTATGGTGCGAGGGGCCGGCTACGGCGCGAGGGGCTGGCTACGGCGCGAGAGGGGCTGGCTGGGCGCGAAGGGCCGGCTGGGCGCGAGGGGCCGACTAGGCGTGGGAGGGGCCGGCTAGGCGCACGAGGGGCCGACTAGGCGAGAAGGGCCAGCTAGGCGAGAGGGGCCGGCTGGGCGCGAGAGGGGCCGGCTAGGCACGAGGGGCTGGCTAGGCACGAGGGGCTGGCTAGGCACTCGAGGGGCTGACTAGGCGAGATAGGGGTTGGCGGACGCGTGAGGGGCCGGCGAGGCGCGGTAGGCTAGGGCACGGGGCGGAAGTGGGTGGGTGGACCTAACCTACTCCTGATACCATGTTAGAATACTAGAATGATTAGCAAGAATAGAGAACAGATGAAATATAGGGTTTGTGTTGTACTCTTGACGAACACACACCTATTCTAGCCTATAACTTCTACATGCAAATGTATGTATAAGTTGACAACGAATCCTAACTTGTTTGATATCGGTGCTCGAAAACAGCAGGCTCAAGGACCGATATCAGGGAGCCTACTCCTGGTATCTGATAAGTAGGAATACGCCCTAAGATTTATGCGGTGCTACACCAAGCTTTCTATCTCAAAGGACTTCGTCTCTGCCAAGGCTGCACTCAATAGAAATGTTATTTTATACACACCTTTTAAAGCCCCAGACTAAAATAGCATACCCCATTCAAGTTGGACCCAGCTTGAAGAAGAAAATGGGCTTGGTTTGAAGAAGAGTTGAGGTTTTTTTTGGAGGGGCAACGGGCTATGTTCGAAATAGATTCGGAAGAAGTTTGTGCATCGAAACTATCGAATTCGGGGCGGAACTACTGTTCACTTCCTCCTCTGACGACGATCTTGCTTGTCGTACGGCTGGTGAGGTGTCGCACTGATTCTGATTCCCCCATGACACCCGAAAAGCAAACCTGGTCCCAACTTGAAAAACGAGCTAGGTTGTAGGGGAAGAAATCGCACATGCGATTTCTTCTGACACACGAGTCGCTCAAGTCGCGAGCGCGTCAGAGAGGACGCACCATACATTTCGCCAGGCTGTTTGTTGCGTCAGCCAATCATGATCTAGCTGTTCTTTTCACCCTCCTCTCCATCCGAAATTCGCAACAGTAAATGTAGTCGGTCATCCTATTCTTCGGGCGTGTCATAAGCGTTCGTTTATCCCCCGAAACCCTACCTAACCACTTGATATTTTTAGCTAACCTCTTTCAAATAATTGTGCACCTTACTCAATCGTAATAAAGTGGACGCTTATGATACGCCCTTCGACGGAAATGTTCAAAATGGGCCTACGTTTGCTATTATGGCCAGGGGTTTTAATGAGTGTAGGATGATATATTTTGTTGAAGGTGTTCCCTATGGGCGCAAAATTGCTTTTATCTTGGTGACTACAATATAGTCTTTCAGGCATCGAAGGTAAATAATAATTATGCTTCTTAATACTGCATGCAATGATCCGGAACGAAGCCTCCAGTATCCCCACCGCCCTCACAGCTGCAGCTTGTCCCGCCAGAACTTGAGTTGCTCGTCCACACAGGCCGCCCCTGTGGAGCCAAACGACCGGAACTTGCTGATGGAATTCTCCACACCCAGGAAGGAGTACACGTCGTCCTCGAAGATGGGGTTCAGCGCGCGCAGCTCACTCAACGACAACGCGCTCAGCTCCACACCGCGCGCCACCGCGATGGCCACGGCGCGCCCCACCACATCGTGCGACGTGCGGAACGGCATGCCCTATGGGCCAGTGGAGACACCACACCGATGGGGGAGGAGGGGAAGAGAGTGGAAGGGATAGAGTTGAGGAAGGGAACAGGGCAGTGACGGTTGAGGAGTGGGAGTAGGATGGGTTGACGAGGGCGGGTGTTGGTTCATTGAACAGCACTTACAAGGTATGTCACTCCACTGGGACAGGGGCCGAGGGGAGCAATAAGGAGTCAAAACGAGCCAAGAGGAGCCAAGAGCCAAGAGCAGCAAAGAGCCAAGAGGAGCAAAGAGCCAAGAGGAGCAAAGAGCCAAGAGGAGCAAAGAGCCAAGAGAAGCAAAGAGCCAAGAGGAGCAAAGAGCCAAGAGGAACAAGAGGAGGCCTGATGAGTGTCCGACACACCACATGCAGCATGACCAGCACCCCAGCACCCACCTTGTACACGCCATGCACTCACCCAACCCGCTCGCCTTGCATGCATGGTGCTCTCACGCCCACGGCTCACCTTGTACACGAGGTAGTTGGCCGCGGCTCACCTTGTACACGAGGTAGTTAGCAGCGGCTCACCTTGTACACGAGGTAGTTGGCAGCGGCTCACCTTGTACACGAGGTAGTTGGCAGCGGCTCACCTTGTACACGAGGTAGTTGGCAGCGGCTCACCTTGTACACGAGGTAGTCGGCCAGCGTGGTGGCATCGAGGTGACCCGCGGGCAGCGACTGCGCGATGCGGTGGCGGTTGAAGGAGACGTTGAGGGCGAACTCGGCGGTGACCTCCAGCATGGCCAGCACCGTGTCCACGCTGTCAAACAGCGGCTCCTTGTCCTCCTGCAGGTCGCGGTTGTACGCCAGCGGCAGCCCCTTGCACAACACCAGCAGCGTGGTGAGGTCGCCGATGACTCTGGCGGACTTGCCGCGCACGAGCTCCATGGGGTCGGGGTTCTTCTTCTGCGGCATGATGGACGACCCCGTCGACACGCGGTCCGACGGCGTGAGGAACCCAAACTCCTCCGACGCCCACAGCACCCACTCCTCCGCCAGGCGCGACAGGTGCACCGCCACGATGCTGTTGGCCGCCAGCAGCTCCACCACAAAGTCGCGGTCCGACACCGCGTCCACGCTGGGGACGGCAGGCGGAGGGGGATAGCGCACATTGATGAGTAGAGGGTGAAGAATTGATGGGAAAGCATGGGACGGAAGCCAGGGAAAGCCAGGGCAGGGGTGTGCGTGGGGGGTTGCAGTGGTGGAAGGGGGTGGTGGGATGGGGGGGGAAGCTGTTGAAGGAAAGCAGGGTAGGCGCAAAGGCAGGATAGGCGCAAAGGCAGGGTAGGCGCAAAGGCAGGGTAGGCGCAAAGGCAGGGACAGCGATGGCATGGCAGCGATGACATGGCAGCGATGACATGACAGCCATGACATCGGATGGATCCATCGGCACGACACCGCGCTTGACTGCCCAGCATGGCATGCTCTACTTACACTCCACTGGATACTGTACGCACCACGCCATGCACTGTGCTGTGCGTGGCACTCGCTGCATTCTTTGCGCCAATCGTTCCCTCGCCCCACCCCACCCCGCTGCCTCGCCGCCCCTGCCATTGCTCCTCCCCTCCTTCTCTCCACCCCCCCAGCCGCCTGTCCTGCACGGACGCACTAGAGCCCGTCTGTACCAGCAAAGACCCTCCCCACCACCCTAGCCCCATCTGTTCCTAGCATGCCCCTCACCCCTCCACTCCACCCCCACGGTCCCAAACAATCCCTCACCCCGCGCGCCTATCCCCCACCTGTTTCTGAGGGGCGCGGTGAAGCCAAGGGCCTGTGCGGTGTGGTGGCGGTCGATGGGGAGCCCCGTGCCCGCCAGCGCGCAGCTGCCCAGCGGCGAGAAGTTGAGTCGCGCGCTGCAGTCGCGCAGCCGCCCCGCGTCCCGCTCTAGCTGCGGCGACCGGGGCAAACAGGGGAGGCAAGGGCGGGCGCAGCAGGGCAGGCAGCAGAGGAGGAAAGGGGAGGATGGCGAATTGAAGTGAAAGGATCACCAAACGACAATGCTGCCACCCGCCATGAAATCCCCCCACCTGCTCCGAACCTCCCGTTCCTGCCTATTCCCCACAATCCGTCTTCTCACGGAACAGCATTTTACGTGCGGTCGGTTTCAAGGCAGGCAGGTGAGTGTTGAGTGCTGCGCGCCAAGCTCAGTCAAGCTACCAAATCTCTTGCAACGAGCAGCGCTCACCATTTCGACGTACGCCAGCAGCACGTGCGCGAGGAGCAGCGGCTGCGCGCGCTGCAGGTGAGTGTACCCGGGCACCACGAGCCCCTCGTTCGCCCCCGCCAGCTGCACCAGCGCCGTCTGCAGGCGCGCCACGCGCTCCAGCAGCTGCGCGATGGCCCCGCAGCACCACAGGCGCACGTCCGTGCAGACCTGGTCGTTGCGGCTGCGCGCCGTGTGCAGCTTCTTGGCGGGCTCGCCGACGAGGTCCGTGAGCGCCGCCTCGACGTTCATGTGCACGTCCTCGCGGTCCAGCCGCCACTCGAACTGCCCCGCTTCGATGCGCCGCTGGATCTCGCCCAGCCCCGCCACCACGGCGTCGCGCTCCGCCTCCGACATCAGCCCCTGCCGCCACGCGCGGGAGGGAGGGGGGTTTGGGGAAGGCGGGGTGAGCTGGGAGGCACAACGAGCCACGCACGCGGGTGGAACGGCAAGTGGGAGGGGCGAGGGGCGGGCGGGCGGCGAGCAAGGAGGCGGAAGGAGGCGGAAGCAACGAGCACAGTGCGCGGGTTGCTTGTGGAAGAGGCACGCGAGGGGGAATAGGAGTCAAACGCGTGAGGATTGACCTCGTGCCATCATAGCGCTCCCTTGTTTCCGTCCTTCCGTCCTTGAGTCCGTTCTTCTTTGCTTCCGTCCTTGCGCGCGCCCGTGCACCCGCAACCACCAGCGACATGTCACCACAGGGGGCGCTACTCACCCGCCACGGGAGGCGTGACGCGAAGAGGGCGGGGCGAGGAAAGGGCGGCGCCTATGGCGAGGTGCGTGGAGGCGGCGCGTGGTCACCCAGCTGCGCGCGTGCCCAGCTGCGCGTGTGCCCAGCTGCGCGCGTGCGCGCATTATCCTGCGCAGCCCCTCGCGCCGTCCTCCGCCATCGCCATCGCCATCGCGACCCACCTTCTGCCCCACGGCGTCGCATCGCGGGACGATCTTCCGCGGGACAGCGTGGACTCGCCAATGCGGCGCGCGGCGGCGGCTCATCAGAGCCGGCCAACGGCAGTCATCGTCGGCTCAGCCCTCCACCCTGGCTATTGGGAATGCAACTTGCGCCGTGCCTCACCTGCTTGGCGAGCATGTTGGCGTGCGCCGTGCTGCCCTGGATGTCCACGGCGTACAGCTTCTGGTCGAACGACACCGACTGCCCGAACCGCTCCACCGCCGGAGTCACCGCCTCCTCGAACCGCCCGCCCCACAGCTTCTGCTCCTTCTCCTCCGCCGCCCCCCCCGCCGCCGCTTCCGAGCCCGCCGCGGAGGGCGGGTTGGGGGCGGACATCTGAAGGGCCGGGCGCGAGGCGGAGACTGCGGGCGCAGAGGCCAGGCGGAGGGCAGCGTGGCGCGGCGTGTGCTGGTGCGCGGACGAGAGGGGTGCTGATGGGGAGCGAGCCGCGGAGAGGGCGGAGGAGCAGCGGGAGGCCCCGGAGACGTTGAGGGCGACGGCAAGGGACATGGCAGACCAACGACGAGACGCCAAGGGGGGGGAGTTGAGCCAAGCGTGGTGAAGAAAGCAGCAATCAGATTTGAGCGAGATGGTGATGGCGGGGCAGAATGACTGGCGGGGTGCAGTGCAGGGCATGTGGCGGGGCAAGTGAAGAGCAAGTGTGCAATGGCCTCGTGGTTCCGTTGGGCTCCATTTCATGGCGCCAAAGGGAAAGGAAGGAGCAAGGTCCAGGCTGACGTGGCGCCGAATGGGTCAAAACTGGTGTGCCTGCCCACTGCACGAAGCTTTGAGTGCGGCACTGAAAGCGGACGATTGGTGCCACGTGGTCGAGATTATGAGGCAGAAAGGCCAATAGCAGAGGCGCCGCTGTGGGCTCCGGCAAGTGGTTGGCCAAAGTAGGGAGTGCAACTTATACTACAGTGAACAAAGCTTGATGCGACATAATGGGTTATTCCCCATTGTAAGGAAATGGTATTTCCTCACACCACCATAAAGGGGTTTTCACACTTTGTTGAAAGACACTTTGGAACTTAGCATTCAAGAAGTTTAGCTGCACTCTAACAATAGCGTGATACCTCATATGAAACAGAGCCCAGTAGTGATGTAAACATTAGCAAGTCTCGTAAACAGTAGGCTCGCACGTATTTGTTAAATTATATATTTGAGATATATATCATCGTAGACTTGGTAAGTGTTACTGGATTCTACTGTAGAGGGTGCTGTCAAACATATTTGTATATATTATAATAAGCTAGATAGTTGCATGCTCTTAGAGGGTACAACACTTGCACAAAATCAACATGTATGCCTCCTAGTCAACTTTTCTACTCTGAGATGGTATCGCGTGCTAGGTTAGGTCCACCCCGCCCACCTGCGCTTCTGCTCTCGTCCAAGTCCTAGCCGCCCGCCCCTTAGTGCCCCGTTAGCACCCCGTTAGCATCCCGTTAGCGCCCCGTCGGCCCCCTATGGCCCGTTAGCGCCCGTCGGCCCCCCCCTTAGCGTCCCATCGGCCCGTTAGCGACCTGCCGGCCCGTTCGTGCCCTATTGGCCCCGTTAGTGCCCCGTCGGTCCCGTGCGCCCCTCTGGCCCTGCTCGCCCCGACGGCCAGTTAGCGCCCGAGCCGGCTCCGTTGGCGCCCTACCGGTCTCGCCCGCGCCCAGTCGGCCCCGTGCGCCTCGTCGGCCCTCGCCAGCCGGTCGGCCAACCCGCCGCCCAGCCAGCCCGCTCCAGCCTCGCCGGCCCCTGCTTCAGCGGCCAGCCGCCGGACCGTCGAGTCCCAGCGCCGACTCACAAGCTCTGGCACCCTTCAGGCCGGCTCCCCTGCCGGCTGCCTCCACCGCTCTACACCGCTCTCTACTGCATTCCACCGCACTCCACCGCACTCCACCGCACTACACCGCACTCTACCGCTCTTCACTGCACTCCACCGCTCTCCATCACACTCCACCACTCTCCACCGCTTCCTCCACCTGTCCTCCTTGAACTGTCAACGGTCGTCCACAGCTGTAGCAATGGCGATGGCGGAGTCACAGCTCTGGCGGGACGCAGAGGGTTGGGCGCTCGACTTTGAGGAGTGGCTCGTCAACCTACGGCGTCACTTTACAGGTCAGCGCCATGATGGTCACTCCCTGGCTGTTCACATCGAAGGCCTGCTTCCCCGCCCCCCTGCCCTTGCTGCCCTCCCTGATGCCCCCACCACTACTGAGCGTAAAGCATTTTTTGCTGCTGCGCTAGATCGTGCCGTCGGGGACTCGCGCGACGCTGTCGCCCAGCTTGCTATCAGTCGTGCGCTCCCACTGTCTGAGCGTCCTCGCTTTACCACTGTAGCGAACGCCCATGCCTTCTTAGATATTGTCATTGCGCGCTATTCCAGCCCCGCCACTGCCTCTGTTGGTTGCCTTATCCTTCCCATGTTGTTCTCTAATCTTGCGTCCTTCCCCACTGTCACCGACTTTGTCACGCACCTCCGCACGCTTGAGACGAGCTACCGCGCTGCTAGCACTGAGGCACAGCTCACTGCCTTCCTGCCGCCGTTCTGCGCTACCCTTTATCTCATCGTCACGCGCCTCCCTGACCACCTAGCCACAGCCCGCGACCACTTCCTTAGTCAGCACACGGGTAACCTCACTCTCACCGCCTTTGCTACTGTGGCACCACTGCCTAGGTCACTTTGCACTCCCGCCTCTGCGTCACATGTCCCAGCACGGTCTTGTCCTAAGTCTCCCTGCGCTGCTCCCTTCCCTCCCTCCCTCGCCTGCGCCGATGTGCACGCCTTGCGTTGAGGGCCGGCTGCGCCATGCTCCTCACTCCTCCTCGCTTTGCCCTGCCACGGCTCCACTCCAGACCCTGCACCTGGACGTCTGGGTCCAGCCCCCGTCCCTGGGCCGCGTCGGGAGCGCTACTTACTGGTTCTTGTCGACGACTACACGCGCTACACCACGGTTTTTCCTCTGGAGCATAAGGCCGACGTGCCTGACGTTCTTATCCGATGAGTTGTAGCTGCGCGAGTCCGCCGAGGTATCCCCCTGCTGTGTCTCCACTCCGGCCGTGATGGCGAGTTTGCCTCAGGTCGGCATGGCCGGTTCTGTCGTGCGGAGGGCATCACCCAGTCCTACCCTGCCGGAATCTCCACAGCAGAATGGGGTCGCTGAGCGACGCATCAGCTTGGTCATGGAGGTGGCTCGTACATCCATGATCTATGCCGGTGCACCCCATTTTCTGTGGCCGTTCGCTGTTCGCTACGCCGCTCACCAGCTTAACCTGTGGCCGCGCTCCCAGCGGCCGCAGGTTTCACCGACCCTCCTCTGGATCAGGTCACCTGGTAACGTGTTTGCGTTCCACGTCTGGGGATGCCTCGCTCACGTTCGTGCCTCTAGCACGGACAAGCTCACTGCCCGCACTGTCCCCTGTGTCTTCTTTGGTTTCCCCCTGGACTCGTCTGACTGGCACTTTTACCACCCGCCGTCTTACAGCTTCCTTCACTCGTGGGATGTCACTTTTGACGAGTCTATCTCGCTGGCCCCTCGCGCACCTTGCCGGCCCCTAGCATGCCCGTCACCCTTAACGCGCTGCGCCGGCCCCTCGCGTACCCCGCCGGCCCCTCACGCCTAGCTGGCCCCTCGCGCCTAGCCGACCCCTCGCGCACCGCCGGCCCCTCGTGCCTAGCTGGCCCCTTGCGTACTCGCCGGCCCCTTGCGTACCCTACTGGCCTCTCGCGCACCCGCCCGGTCTCTCGCGCGCCTCGTCGGCCCTTCGCGCTCGCCGGCCCCTCGCGCGCCCGCTGGCTCCTTGCGTGCCGTGCTGAGCCCTCCCGAGCCTGCCAGCCCTCCGCGCCTCTCCGGCGTTTTGCAACTCACCAGCCCTTTGCACCCTTCCGGCTTTGCGCGCCTCGGGCCCTGCGCACCTCGGGCCCTCCTCCGCCTTTCGCACGGTTTTCCCCACGGAGAGTCCTGCCGCCACACTGCTGTGCTGTCGTGCCGTCGTGTCCCCGTGCCACTGTGCCGCCATCATGCTGTGCCACCGTGGACATGCGCCATTCAGGTTGCACGATGGCGGACGCCGTACTTCGCCTGGACACGGAGGGGCACGCGATCGACTTCGCCGCCTAGCTTGTCGATCTTCGCCGGCACTTGACAGATCAGCGCCATGATGGGCACTCCCTGGCTATGCATGTTGATGGCTTGCTTCCCCCCACCTTCGCTCCTAATCCCCTCCCTGCTGACCCCACCACTGCTGAGAGTGAGGCCTTTGCTGTTGCTGCGCTCGCTCGCGCTATCTGGGATTCTCGCGATGCTGTAGCGCAACTCGCCATTAGTCATGCTCTTCCCCTGTCTGAGCGTCCATGCTTCACGGCTGTCGCGACCGCCAAGGACTTCCTAGATGCTGTAGTTGCGCTATACTCCACCCATGCCTTCTCCTCCGCGCGCCGCTTGATCCTCCCCATGCTATTCCCCAATCTTTCTGCTTTCCCCACTGTGGCTGACCTCGTCACTCACCTCCGTGCACTAGAGACTAGCTACCGCGTTGCTAGCTCTGACACCTAGCTCACTGCCTTCCCCCCATTGTCCTGCGCTACCCTATACCTTATTGCCATGCGTCTGCCTGACCGCTTAGCCAGTGCCCGCGACCACTTCCTTAGCCAGCACCCTGGCGACCTCACCCTGACCGCCTTTGTCATTGCCCTGTCTGAGATAGAGACTCGCCAGCGCAGTATCCCTTAGTCAAGCGGTGTTGCGGCAGTCCCTTTCTTTCAGGGCTATGCTCCCTCCCAATGCACGTACGCTGACGTCTCTGCCACGGTGGCTACGGCTGCCCCTACCACTGACAGCGCAGCTGCGGCCTTCCCGCAGCAGCGCCAGCGTCCGGGCCGCCACGACCCCAAGGGAGGGCGTGGTGGTGGCGCTTGTGGTGGTAGTGGTGGTGGTGGGGACAGTGGTTCTGACGAGGGGGTTGGAGCTGGTGTCCAGGAGCAGCAGCAGTCGCAGCAGGCACAGCAGCAGCAGTCGCAGCAGGCACAGCAGCAGCAGTTGCAGCAGGCACAGCAGCAGTAGTCACAGCCGCAGCAGCAGCAACCATGGGCCGGCCTCCCGCCGGGGTGGCTAAGAGCCCAAAGAGGTGGTGGCCGCGGTGGCGGCCCTCGCAGCTCGGCGTCTACCGGCGGCTTCGGTGCTATGAGCTGCCAGTACCAGCTCTAGACCGGGCCCCTTCGTGGCACGGTGTGCCGCCGCCCGCACCCGACCGCCCGCTGCTTCCGCCGCCTCGAAGACCTCTTCCGTCGCCGCTTCGGCCTAGCCCCGGAACTCCCTGACTGGCCAAGTCTGCTGCGCCACGGTGTGCCTGTTTTTTACTTAGACATGGATCAGATTAGTTCTGCCCTGCATTCTCTGCATGCTGATGCTTCTAATGTGTCCGGATCTTATTTCCCTCTGTTCACTAGCTTAGGCGTAGCACCTGTGTGTAGTCGAGACTCCCCTGCTGCGTTAGGCGAGGACCGTTTGCTTTGTATAGACTAGGCTCTACACTAGCTCCTCCTTTGTCTGCCACTACTACTTCGCTGTCCTTCACACTTGACTCCGATACGTCGGCCTGCTTCTTCGCGACCATGCCACACTCAAGCCGCTTGCCGCACATGCCGCTGTCGCACTTGCTG